AAAAAAGAGAGAGAGAGAGAGAGAGAAAGGGAAAGTGAGAAATCACCTCCCAGGGAGGATGGCCACGCTGCAGTCCTTTCTCCTGCATTCTCCTGGATTTGGGGCACACATGTACCCCTACCTCGTGTGATTTTCAAGGGGTTTTGAACCATGGCCTGCCATGTGGGAGTCCAGCACTGAGATTTGAACCATGGCCAGCCATGTGGGAGTCCAGCACCTCAACCTCCATGCTACCTGCTGGCGCTGGGAGAGGGTTTCTTTTTGGGTTGATGAACATGTTTTGCACTTAGATCATGGTAGCAGTTGTCCAACTTTGCAAATGTAAAAAAAAAATGCTGAATTGTGCCTTCTGGATGTGACTTTCACCTGTGGTGAGTAAAAAGGCATCCATGTAACTCACACTCAGGAAGCAGGTTCACTTCTCTGAGGCAGATTGCCTCATGCAGAAAGAAGGGTGCTGGTTCGGAGTTTCTGTGAAATAATTTATTTCCATTTCATCACCTCTTTGTCCTCACGTTCCTCCCCCTCTTCTCTTACGCTAGAGTAATTTCTCCCTTGCCATGAAGCTACTAAAGGAGCTGCACAAGGAGTCCAAGACGAGAGACGACTGGCACGTCGAGTGGGTGCACAGCTATTGCCGCCTGAGCCACTGCCGGAGCCATGCCCAGAGACCCCCTGAGCGGGTCCTCAGTGTGTTGAAGACGGTCTCTTTGCTGGGTCAGTAGATGCACGAGTCTGCGTTCTCTTTCGAATGCTGCTTCTTGTTACGCCTGTGTCTTCTGAAACTACTCTCTGTGCTGCTTCAGCTGACACCTGGGAGTTCGGCTTTGTAGTGATTTTAGTAAGCGTCAGGCAGCACAGAGAACAGAGCGGCTTCCTGGGGACAGCGAAGATTCAGAGCTAGGGCACTTAGTAATCTAATAATGCATTGAATATGACATTTGCAGCTTTTATTTCTTTATCTATAAAATACTGTGGAAACTAAGACTTTTCCATCATGATGGCACATGTTCCAACTGTCTCCCCTGCAGGAGATGGAGCAGTAGCCTCAGCGCCAGACTTTCTAGAGTGCCAGGGACTGAAAGTCATCCTGAGGTTGCTTAAACGGTTTTAGTGGAGAGAGGAAGAGAGGAGGAAGTTTGCTGATAATACCTTAATATCAGTGGGCCCAGCAGTTGGTGTAATGGCTGTGTTGCTGGGCTCCCATGTAGTCAACCACGGTTTGAATCCTGGACCTGGTGGCCAGATGTGTATCCGTGTGTGCCCAAGAGGAGAATGGAGGAGAAGGGATTGAGGTGTGGCCATCCCCCCCTGGGGGGTGATTTCTTGCTTCCTGTCTCTCTCTCTCTCTCTCTCTCTCTCTCTCTCTCTCTCTCTCTCTCTCTCTCTCTCTCTCTCTCTCTCTCTCTCTCTCTCTCTCTCTGTCTGGTGAGCGCACACACCCTATAGCAAAAACCTCTCAAAAAATAAAAAAATTTTAAAAAAGGTGTTATCAGCACTTGGGGCTGGCAGCTGGCATGGAGGTTAAGGGCTCTGGACTCCCACATGGCCAATCATGGTTCGAGTCCTGGGCCTGGCAGTTTGCTTTCTCGCTTTTCTCTCTCTCTCTCTCTCTCTCTCTCATTCTGTCCCTCTCTGTTCAAATTAAAATAAATGAAAATGAATAAAGTTTTAAAAATTCTTTTAAAAAAAAGAAATTATCAGCACTTACAGTAACAGTTATGATGATTCTGCAAGATGGAAACGGCCCAGGTGTTCCCACCTCTAGAATGGGTATATAAAATGTGCCATGTCTCCACCACGGAATACGGTTCAGCCTTTCAGAGGAATGGCGTCTGACACGTGCCACGCATGGACGGACCTGGAAAGTGCGGGCCCTGGGCACTGAGCCTGCTGGTATGACATCCAGGACAGGCAGTCCGTAGAGGAGGAAGTGGATCCGTGGTTTCCAGGGTCTCGTTGCAGGTGGTAACATCCTGACAAGTTCTGCAGAGCACAGGCAGGCAGGGATGGGCGGGGCCGTGGCTGGCCGGGCAGGCTGGCGGAGCTCAGCTCAGATGCTGAGCTTCACATGGTCAGACACGGACCTCAGACTTCCCATGCAGCGGTGTCTGCCACTTACCAGCTCTGAGCCACAGAATCAGTTGAACACTCTTCTCTGGGTAATTAATGTGGTGCATAAATACATTTATAAGAACCATTAATGTTTATAGCAGAAAGAGTTAGGTGTTTGACAAAATGCATAATTACAATGCTTGAGTAAAATATTAATTTTTATTTTTGGTATGCTATGCTCCATGACACTTAACCCCTGTGGGTGACCATCCAGTTACTTCTAGCAAAGAGTGTTTTTCATTACTGAGTTCACGAAGTTTCCTCCTGGGGCCAGCACATGGTGTGGTAGTTAAGGTGCTGGACTCACACATGGTGGACCATGGTTTGAGTCTTGAACCTGGCAGCTTGCTTTCTCTCTCTCTCTCTCTCTCTCTCTCTCTCATGAACGCACATGCCCTATAGCAAATTAAAAAATAATAATATATAAAATTAAATTAGTATTCCTTACCAAAAAAAAATCCCCTCACTGTTTTTTGGTGGGTTTTTTTTGTTTTTTTTTTTTGTTTTTGAGAGGATTTTGCTATACGGCACGTGCTCGCCAGACAGACAGAGACAGAGAGACAACCCCCGGGGCCATGGCCACACCGCAATCCCTTCTCCTCCATTCTCCTCTCGGGATCTTGGGCACACACGCACATGTACCTGGCATGAATTTAAGCCACTGGGTCTGGGACGCAAACTGCGGTCGACTACGTGGGAGTCCAGTGACATAGCCATTACATCAACTGCTGGTCCCAAGTACACATTTTACCACCACCTGGCCCCCAGTATTTTTTTTTTTTAAGTTTATTTCTTTCATGAGAAAAAGACAGGGTAAGAGGGATGGATGGACCCTTGACAGGATCCAGCCATGCCAGGATCCTTCCTCAAGCCAGCGCAGACCGTGGGCGTCATCATGGGTGCACTTGGAGTTTTCAGGCCAGTCTGGGACTGGAACCCCGGCTTCCATGGCTACAGCATAGCCCAATGGTGCCCTACCACTTGTTCCACAATGGCTGGTCCCTGTCCCAGTATTGGAAGTCAGTTTCTTGTACTTTTCAGACTTAATTCTTTTTTTTTTTTTTTTTTTTTGAGGGAGAGGTTGTTTTGTTATTGGGCACCTTCCTTTGACAGAAAATGAGAACTCACCCCCCAGAGGGGATGACCACACTGCAATCCCTTCTCCATTCTCCTCTTGGGATCTTGGGCATGCACACACGGCCCCCGTGGTGAGTTTAAGGCACCAGGTCCGGGACTTGAACCGCAGTCGGCTACATGGGAGTTCAGCGACAGCCATTATGCTAACTGCTGATCCCGGACTTAATTAATTTCTTAATAGAAAACTGAATTTTTCTTTCTAATTTATTGTTATTTGTTTTAGAAAAAAAAATACCGTTGTTTTTCTAAATCTACCAGATGAGAACAGCACATCAAGCTACTTAAGCAAAAACAGCCTGGCTTTCCGTGATCAGAACATTCTCTGGGGTGCGACCTGCAGGATCCTTGCCGACGCACTCAGCAGCGAGCCAGCCTGCCTTGCGGAAATGGAAGGAAGCAAGGCTGAGAGGGTGATGGAGCTCTCCGGATCTGGCTCCGAGAGGACCGAGAAGGTGATGCTGCGGGAAGCGTGGCGTCTGTGCGTGTGTGCGTGCGCGTGCGCGTGCGTGTGCGTGTGCGCGTGCTGTGTCTGCAGGAGAGTGATGATGTTCTCAGTTGGTGTTTTTAAAGCATACTTGACAGCCGTGCACGGTCGTGTTTCTTGTGTGGAAGTCGACATATTCCGTACTTTCCTATTTATCTGAATGATACGAATTTTTTTAGTATTAAATGGGAAATGTATATGGGGTCAGTGTGGACAGTTTTTCCATGAATTTGGTTAATGAATTTCATCCCTACTCACCATTCAGAATCCTCCAGCTTTAGGCATGTCAGTCTTTGCCACCTTTGTATTTACTGCCTGCTTTGCTTGGCTAATCTCAGATGATTTTGCAGTTTTTTTAGAGAGAGGTTTTTGTGTTTGTTTTTATATAGTATGTGTGCACTTGCTAGAGAAAGAGAAAGCAAGAAATACCCCCCGGGGGTATGGCCACCCTGCAGTCCCTTCTCGTCTAGTCTCCTGGGATCTTGGGGATGCATACACAAGCATTTGGTGTGCATTTTAAGCGGCCAGATCCAGGACTCGAACCACGGTCAACTACATGGGAGTCCATCAGTATAATCACTACACCATCTGCTGGTCTCTGCATTTTTGATACTTCTGGTCCCCCTCATCTCACCGTGTCACACTTGCATTGCTCCAGTTTGTGGCGGTCTTCCCCCTGTGATGTCACGGACATCCATACAGGATGTGGAGTGAAGGTGCCACATGTCTTCCTCCCCTTCCGAGAGCTGCCGGGCCCGTGGCCCAGCTGTTTGCCTCAGGGGCTGCTGGGCCCACACAGGCTTGTTCTTGTTGTTTGACTGGAGTTAAATGCCAGGATCTTGCTGGGTGAGCGTGCTCCGTCTCCACCAGGAAGACACTCCTTTCTCCAGTTCACTGGCTGTGGCGTGAGTTTGGAGCTTTTGGCCCGTCTACGTGTCACTAATCGCTAGCATCGCCCTTTACCGTCACCAGTGGAAAGTAGCGCTCTGAAGACGCTCGGCTGCACTCAGGGTTTCTGAGGTCTCTGAATTCCAGGTGATTGCGGGTCTGTACCAGAGGGCGTTCCAGCACCTCTCCAAGGCTGTGCAGGCAGTGGAGGAGGAGGCAGCCCAGTCATCTCCTGGGAGCCACGGGCCTACGGCTGGGGTCGTCCAGGCGTATATGACGCTGGTGGATTTCTGCGACCAGCAGCTCCGCAGAGAGGAAGAGAAGGCACCAGGTGAGTCACAAGAAACGAGTTAGCGTTCTGATGCGTCAGCATGACACCTTTAGAACTGTGGAGATGCTTTTGTCTTCTTGCTGCTTTCCAAACGACAGATGTTCTGAGAGACATCTGTAGTCTTGTTAAGGCAGTGGCATCTCCGAGGGTACCCTGCAGTTAGGTGGAGTCAGACTGTCTTCCGTTCGTATTTGCATACTTCACGCTTTCTGACTCTGCATGCAGCTTTGGTTTAGGGCTTCTGTGGCGGGTCTCCTGTTCTTGGAATAAGTTCAGTCTCTGGAAGCCGCCCTCGTTCCCAGCCCAGGACACAAACTGCTCCTTATGCCGGCGGCCGCTCTCAGGAGGGCGCAGTCCAGGGAGGCACAACGTTGTCCTGTGTGTGTGGCCCTGAGTGGAGATTAAAGAGAACGGTGACTGGAGCGGAAGCCCGAAGGGGAGATGCGCTCCTTTCTCCAGTTGTAACCCGTGCAACGCTCGTTTCTCCTCAGCAGTTGGCACTTCTGCAGAACTGCAGGCATACCCGGCGCTGGTGGTAGAGAAAATGCTGAAAGCTTTAAAATTAAACTCCAGCGAAGCCAGGCTGAAGTTTCCTCGACTACTACAGATCATAGAGCAGTATCCAGAGGAGACCTTGAGCCTGATGACGAAAGAGGTTGGTGTCTGGGTCCCAGGGCGCAGGAGGGCCTCTGCGAAACAACCGACAGCCCTGTATGCAGACACGCATGTACGTGCATTGCGGCTTTTCCCAGCCAACACCGATTCTGCTACTTTCTAAGAACAGGATCGTTTAAAGCAGTGTAGGAGAGAATTCAGACTCAGGGGTGTTCAACACTGAAGGGACCAGCATGGTCAACCGCAATCTGAGTCCTGGACCTGGAGGCTTAAACTCATGCCAGGTGTGTGTGTGTGTGTACCAAAGTCCCAAGAGGAGAATGGGGGAGAAGGGATTGTGGCATGCCAACCCCCCAGGGAGTGATTTCTCGCTTTCTGTTTCTGTCTCCCTGTCAAGCACACATGCTCTATAGCAAAAAATCTCTCAAAGAAAGGAAGGAAAGAAGGCACCGAGAAGGACTGTTTGGGGCAGAGATAGAGTCCGTGTGGGGCTCTTGCACAGCCCAGGGTGGCACATATCCCTCCTGGTAGGGTAGTGAGCACTCCAACCCCATACCTCCCAGCCCTGCAGTGTGAGTTGAGGGGTTTGTGTGGCAGTTGGGGCAACCCAAAGCCTTGGCCCCACCCAGGGCTGCCCTCTTGGCCTTTGGGTTCTGTGTCTGTAGGGATGCCTCCATGGACTTCATCTGCGAACATTGGGGGGTCATCTGAAAGGCCCTTGATTGGCTTTTAGACGTGTAACTGAAAACAGGGCCAAGCTTTGCAGTGCCTGTGTAATGGTCCCAAGGTAAGACAGCGCTCTGATAGTGCTTTACAGTAAGTTCACCAGGCTGGTCTCATCTGCAGGGACCCAGCATGGCTGCAGAGGCTAGCTATACCCCCCACCCACTGGATTCGGAATGCTAGGCTTGTTCGGCAGGCCCTAAACAGGAGATTACTGTACATTCAAAAATGTAGCATATTTGTTGTTTTTCATAAAGATAATTTAGCAAATAGTTGTAACTTTATTGTGATTTTCCCCCAAGTGACATTTTCTTTCTTTTTTTTTTGGAGCGGTTTTTGCTATAGGGCACATGCGCTCGCCAGAAAGACAGAGAGAGACAGAGAGACAGGAAGTGAGAAATCACCCCCCGGGGGGATGGCCACGCCACAATCCCTTCTCCTCCGTTCTCCTCTCAGGATCTTGGGCATGCACGCACATGTGCCTGGCATGAGTTTAAGACACCGGGTCCAGAACTCGAACTGCAGTTGACGACATGAGAGTCCAGCAACATAGCCATTATGCCAATTGCTGGTCCCAGCATTTTATTTATGATAAAAGTAGCAGTCCAGCAGGTGGCATGGAGGTTGGGGTGCTTGACCCACATGGCTGGTTGCATGGCTTTGGTCCTGCACCCGGCAGCTTGAAAATCACACCAGGTGCATGTTCATGTGAGACAACATGGAAGAGAATGGATCGTGGCGTGGCCGTCCCTTTGTGGGGTGATTTCTCACTTTCTACCTCTCTGTCTCTCTCTGGTAAGTGCACTGCCCTGTAATGAAATCTAAAATAAAAAAAAAATTAAGTAGCATTTTAAATTAGGAGGAAATAAGTGGGTGTATTCAGTCAGTTCTATTACGACGCCTCTGGACCTTCGAGGATGTGGCCCTGGGGCCTGGCCATTTAGGAAGTATGTCAGGTTTTATCAGAAATAACTCCCTGCTGGCTCCCCGTGATCTGCCCCGGGGACTGCACGTGGCGACTGCAGCTCAGATCCCCAGCTTTTTGACAGGGCATGTCGCGATCCCGGGATCCAGTGGGCTGGAGGAAGGGAGTCACAGCCTGATGAGACCCCAGGGAGGATGCTCGTCGGTTCCTCTTCTCCCTGCTGCCATGTGCGTGTCCTCTTATGAATAAAGAAGAAAAAATAACACTCTAAAAGCATGGAGTAAAACATGGATAGATTTCAAAACTGGTCTCGGAGTAAAGAGACAAAGACCAGAAGCCGTAGCGGAAAATGATGTGGTAGCCCTACACAGAAAAAGAATGTTATATGCCAAATTAAAAAAAAAAAACAAAACCACTAAGGGGCCAGCAGGTGGTGTGGTGGATAAGACGCTGGAATTCCCACATGGGCAGCCATGGCTTCAGTCCTGGACCTGTGAGCTTGCTTTCTATCTCTTTTCCTCTCTCACTCTCTCTGCCTTTCTCCTACGAAACTCATATGAAAAAATAATTAAATAAAATAATTCCTTAAAAAGAAAAAAAACCCTGAAAGATATTTGCAACATTTATGAGAGACAGAACTGACATCTCTTGGGGCTGGCAGGTGGTAGTTCAGGGCAGTGGACTCCCACATGGCCAACAGTGGTTTGTGTGTCCAGACCTGGCGGCTTGCTTTCTTTCTCTCCCTGTCTCCCCCCCCCCTCTGTTCCTCTCTGGTCAAATTAAAATAAAATAAATAAGGAGAAAATAATTCTTAAAAAAACTCATCATCTCTCATCTATAGAGTAAAGGTCCGTCAGAGACCGTTACAACATGAGCAAAGAAAATGCACACGTGATTAAAGAGCATAAGGGAGACAGGCTGGATTCTGCAACCTCACTATCATTAAACGCATTTGTTTAATTATTTATTTTAATTTGAGAGGGACAGAGCGAGAAAGACAGAAGGTGAGAAAGCAAGCCCTCAGGTCTAGGACTCGAACTGTGGTCGGCCATGTGGGAGTCCAGCGCCCTTAACCACCATGCTACCTGCAGGTTCCAAAATGTGAAAATTTAAATCAGACATTTTTCACTTCTCAGATTGATGGTTTTAAAAGTTCATTGCGTCCAGTGTTTATAAAGATTTTCAAAGTAGTCCGTCTAATGTTAGAAATGAAAAATTTGAAGTCTTTTCGAAGGGAAGCCTCCCAGTGTTTATTAGCAGTTGTAAATGTTCACACTGTAATTTAACTTGTAGGAATTTACCCTACAGGTGGGGAGACAGCACAAGCACAGGGGTGTCCACTAGCTATAAGAGCAAAAAAGTGGAAAATAATCTAGATACCAATTACAGAGCAGTAGTTAAACGAAAGGAAAACAGTATAGCTGTTCAGATGGGTGAATTAAATCTGTCCATCTCAGGAAAACCGGCAACAGCATGTCTAGCATGATTCCACTCTTGTGATAAAGGTTATGTGTAGGGACCAGCAGTTAGTGTAATGGCTATGTCGCTGGACTCCCACGTAGTCGGCTGCGGTTCACGTCCCAGACCCGGTGGCTTAAAACTCACGCCAGGCGCGTGTGCGTGCGTGGCCAAGATCCTGAGAGGAGAATGAAGGAGAAGGGATTGTGGTGTGGCCGTCCCCTCTGGGGGGTGATTTCTCGCTTTCTGTCTCTCTGTCTGTCTGGCAAGTGCACACACCCTATGGCAGAAACCTCTCAAAAAAAAAAAAAAAACATTATGTGTACACAGCTCAGCAAGTGTCGGGGAGAATCCTGTGGTGGTCTCTGCCAGAGGGCTGAAGGATAGAAGGCTTTTTACTTCCCTGCTTGTGTGTTTCTCTCCTGGCGTTTTTCACTGAGCATGCACTGCCCTCCTCCCAGACGGTGCTCAGTGTCTCGTTGAGCTACCTCTCTCTCTCTCTCTCATAGATCTCCTCCATCCCTTGCTGGCAGTTCATCGGCTGGATCAGCCACATGGTGGCATTACTGGACAAAGGGGAAGCTGTGGCTGTTCAGCACACAGTGGAAGAGATTGCCGATCACTACCCACAAGCCCTCATCTACCCGTTCATAATAAGCAGCGAAAGCTATTCCTTCAAAGATACGTCTGCTGGTCATAAGAACAAGGAGTTTGTAGCAAGGTGATTATTACAGGAAAATTAGGTCAATGAATTAAAATTAGGCCAGTCAGATGCTACATGTTATCAAAAATGTAGGGGGGGAGGGCAGGCCGTGGCGCAGTAGTCATGCAACTGGACCCACATGGGAAGGTCCTGGTTTTGTTTCCCAGAACTTCCCCGAACATGCTGGGCATGCATGTGTTTGTGGTCCAGGCTGGCTGGAGGCAGATTGCAGCGTGGGGATTGTTTGAGGTCTCTCCCTCTCTCGTTCTCTCTTTGTCATGGAAGAACTAAATGAACAAGCTTTTTTTAAAGTGAAAGCACATGGAAGCTAGTGTCTGTCTTCACCTGAATTAACTGTCATTTAGTGAGAGACATCTGGTTCTTGAATGTATATTTCTAGTATGTTGCTTGTTGTAGGATTTCTTTCCTTTTTAAAATACATATCTTAGAATGTCAGTCATGAAACATCCTACCCTTAGGCTCACAGTAATTATTCTCTTGGTTGAGACGGACTATATGAGATGCACTTTGAAATCCATTCCTGAAATTGTCCTTAATTTAGGACAGGAAGGCTCTTTCTTCTTCCTTAGGCCTCCACAGACAGCCCGAGGTCATCCTTTTCACATCTCCCGCTGATGCGTGAGTGGAGACACCAGCATCACGAGCAGCGGTCTGCAGCTCTCAGGAGCACTTCGAGTGCCGTGTTTTAGTTCGCATTTTCCACCGAGAGCTTTTTCCATCACTAACTGAATTGCCTCATTACCTCATGTTTGGTTTTGAGAAGACAAGGAAGAGTGAGATACAGCTTTTGTCCCAGGTTGATGACGTGGACAAGCGTGCCCCACCACTGTGCACTGCCCACACCGTCTGTGAGCGGATCGAGTGCAGTGGGATTGTATTTTAAAAGAAGGAAGGAAAATGATTGGAAAGAAAATGTGTTGGAAAGCGACTTTCATAACTTCAGAAAACACATATGTCAATTTGTACATGTCAAAATGTTGTCATCACTTGTCAGATTTGTTTTTGACCTTACCTGAGAATACCTTTTGGTAGAGTACTTTGTGTTTCATCAAAAATTGCATGGGATTTTAAAATGACACCTTCCTGAGGCTGTGTAGTTCTGTGTATGTGTGATACAGTTATCAGTTTTGTGATTCAAGTAAGTTATAAGTTATAATTTACATCATTTTTAAGTTATGAATACTATTAATCTATGTGATTTTGAATGAATATGCAAGGCCTTGGTTTCTGGGTGATGTTTGGTTACCTAAACTTGCTCATCTTTTTAGGATTAAAAGCAAATTGGACCCGGGAGGAGTGGTTCAAGACTTCATTACGGCCCTGGAGCAGCTCTCTAATCCCGAGCTGATCTTCAAGGTAACAGGACAGCTGCTGGCACACACAGCAGAGAACGTGGCTAAAACTCATTTATTGATAGCTTGATTCTTCTCTTATTTCTCTGCACAGGACTGGGCCGACGATGTCAAAGTTGAACTAGGAAAAACTCCTGTAAATAAGAAAAACATTGAACAGATGTACGAACGGATGTTCGCCAGCCTGGGTGACCTACAGGCCCCCGGCCTGGGCGCCTTCCGAAGGAGATTTGTTCAGGTATGGAGGGCACGCCTGCCTGTACTGCTTCCTGTCAGCGATTCTTGCTAGGCGGCATTGGCTGCTTCTATGGATCAGAGGCAGAACCTTGGGGTTTTATTGTGTCTTTTCATGCTCAGATTCCTAGATCCAAAGGTTGCCCGTAGTTGGGCCAGCAGGTGGCAATTCCCACATGGCTGACCATGGTTTGAGTCCTGGACCTGGTGACTTGAAACTCAGGCCAAACGCGTGTGTGTGCATGCCCAAAATCCCGAGAGGAAAATAGAGGAGAAGGGATTGCAGCATGGCCATGCCCCCGGGGGGTGATTTCTTACTTTCTGTCTCTTTGTCTCTGTCTTTCTGGAGAGCTCATACAAATAATCTCTCCAAAAACACAAGACCATGTGGACCAGTCGCATTTTACCCGTCGGTGGTAGTTTTAACTCTCAGGATGATTTAAACATTGTTCTTTTAGTAAGTTGATAAGTATTTCCTGGCACTTATCTCTGTTCAGGGCACAGTCCTGGATGGTCACAAGATGGAAGAAAGAGACTCAGCCCTGTGTTCCGAGGCCTTGCCTAGCAAATGCTGCACACAGGGAGCTGTGTGTGGGTTGAGCGTGGTGGTGTGAGATGTTTCCGAGTTGCTCTGGAGTTGGACAGAGGAGAATGCCCTTGACTGGAAGGGAATGGTGGAGAGAGTGGAGCTTGCAGGGCCTTGGTACCACCACGTGGCAGCTCGAAGCCGACTCCTCATCTCCCTGGTTGTCCTCCAGCCAGGCCTTGGCCTCAGTATCATTCTCCTGCGGAGCGTCCGTGGCCCCTGCCCTTGGCCCTGGGTTAGCATGTCCTCCCTCAGGCTGGGGGCCTCTCTCTGGCATTCATCACCCTGGGGTTCTTTTTCCAACTTTGGTCAAACTGCCTTCATAAAACCTTGTGAACTTAAGGGCATGAGAGAGAAGTACGTGTGCTGCCACAGTTCACACTCACGGCCAGTCAGGCCAGGGCGGACCTCGACCTCTTTTTTCTTTTCCTTTTTTCAGGGGAAAGGTGGCTTGCTATGTAGCACGTACACTTACTTGAGAGAGAGAGTGAGAGATCACCCCCTGGGGGGATGGCCATGCCATAATCATGTCTCTTCCATTCTCCAGGATTTGGGGCATGCGCCTGGTGTGTTTATCAAGCAGCCAGGTCTGGGACTTAAACCACACAATAAGCCATGTGGGATCCAGCCACTGTAACCGCATAGCACCTGCTAGCCCTCTCGTTTTTAATAGCTACTTTATCATGGTACAGTCTTACGCCCTAACCCTGCCATGTAAAGTGTACAGTGCAGTCGTTTTCAGTATAGCCACAAAGTTCTGAAACTCTCCCCACATCAACTTTAGAGCATTTTCACCTCCTTCCACAGGAGAAATCCCTATGCCTATTATCAGTGCAACCCCACCCTCTGCCCCTGCTGGTCCCAAGCAGCCACGTGCCTGGCCGTTCCGCATATGTGCAGCGTGTGACCGGCTTCTCAGCCCCTTGCAAAGCTCTGCCACAGTGGCCCATGTCAGGGCTTCGCTCCCTGCTGTTGCTGAGTGAGTCCCCCATGTGGACCTGCCACGTTTTGCTCACCCTTTTACCAGGTGGACGTTCCCACCATTGCCCTTGTGAGCAGAGCTGCCGTGCATCTCTGTACATGTCCTGTGGGAAGGCACATCTTCAGCACTTCTGGGCACCTCCTCTGGAGTGGACGTCGTTTTAACCTGCAGCCGTTCCTTGCCTTTTTGCCTGCCAAATTAGACATGTGAACTGGACTTTCGTCCTGCTCATCTTGTCCCTCCACTGCCTAGCATGCTGGCTGGTGTGAGGCCGGTGTCTTTAATAGATGCCCTGGAGCTAGCCAGGTGGTGTGGTGTGGTGGTTAAGGCACTAGATCCCACACAGCCAACTGTGGTTCGAGTCTTGGACCAGGCAATTTGGAAATCATGCAGGGCACGTGTGTGTGTGTCCACCATCCTGAGAGGAGAATGGGGGAGGTACTGTGGCATGGTCATCCTCCAGGAGTGATTTCTTACTTTCCCTCCCTCTCTGTCTCTCTCTGGGGAGCACTAGCCCTAGCAGACTGATTAGATACATACATGTATGGTTTTGGTAAGTGGAGCATGACTCCCACTTGGGGCAGTCCTAGTTAAAATTGTGAGTGTAGCAACCTACAAAGCTGGTCACACTGGTCCATGATCTAAACGGTGCTTGAAAACCCTCACTGTGGGAGGAAGCATTCTTAGCTTTTCTCTTCCGCTCATACAAAGAATTTATTTGTATTGGGTAGCTGCCTTAGTTTTGCCTTTTGTAAGTCTGTCCCTAATTACTCAGGTCATCCCAATGGAGCAGTGGCCTAGAAAGGGCAGGCACACACGGGCTGTGTGAGTCTTTTAAGCTCTTATTATAGTTTATAACTAGGAGTCATTCCTCACCATTTCTTTTCTAAAGGAACAGAAGGCAGGCTCCAGACGTTCCTGAGCATTGAAATATTTAAGGAAAGTATAACTGTAACTCTTAAAAGCACAGAAGATGCCATAAAATTAGGCTTTTATGCTCATAAGCTTAGAACCTTTTCTCATGTTCAAACTAAACATTAAATTTTGTGGGAAATTCTCATTAACTTCAGGCCTTTGGAAAAGAATTTGATAAGCATTTTGGGAGAAGAGGGTCTAAGCTGCCTACGATGAAGCTCAGTGACTTCAGCGACATCACCAGCTCCCTCCTACAGAGGATGAACAAAGACTCGCGGCCACCTGGAAACCTGAAGGAGTGTTCGCCCTGGCTGAGCACCTTCAGCGTGGAGCTCCTGAGAGGCGAGCTGGAGGTTCCCGGTGAGTTAGGCTGTGGCGGCGACTCTAGGCTCCCGAAATGGTGACCTCGGCTCTGGACAGGCTTCTCTCTCTCTCTTTTTTTTTTTTTTTTTTTTAATTTTAAACTTCACATATTTTTGATCATTAAGAAAATTAATAATTACTATAAATTTGTACACTTCACCAGATGTCTAATGCAATTACAGTTTTCTTCTGTTCCTGAAGATGACGAGTCTCAGCTTACACTGTTACGGTTACCAGGAGTTGTAGATTTCCTCTGAACAAACCTGTGCTTTGCTCCCGAACAGCGCATAGGTAGAGTGCGCGTCCTGGGATGTGTGTACTGGTCCCATCCACAATGGCTCATTAGGAAAAGGGCTGCAACAAGGAGCATGGCAGTACCTGGCAAGTTGATCAGAAGTGAACAAGGCATGATTTCCTGAAGGAATCGGGATACATTCCGTGTTCTTCACCTGGAAATGGCCAGAGGAGAAAATGTTGAAAGCGTGTTACTCACGTTCTCATTCCAGTGTATATGAGGAAAAACGTGTGTGCGAACCACGTTTGTTACTATGTGGACGTACAGTTACGCTCTGTCAGTTGTAAGAAAACCTTCTCGTGTGTGTAGCCTGGTTGTTCTGGAGGTGATGCAGTGTTCTAGGGCCATGCGTTGTCTAGTCTTAGAATAGGAAACCAGTTTCCATTCATCAGCAATTGACAAACAATGGCATTACAAGAAATATAAGTCCCTTTTTCTTAAATGAAAGGCAGCATGTAGTATGGGGCAGGGTGGTGGCAGTGGTGCACGTGGTACATGTGACTCTGCAAGGCCGACCCACACAGGAAAGTTGCTTTTCCCTTCCAGAGACCTCCCTAAGTACACGGGCACATGTGAGCCCAGGGTCCAGGGCTGGCTCAGGCAGGGGTAGAGCATGGTATTGAACTGTTGAGGATGCTGTCTCTCTGTCTGTCTGTCATGTTGCTCTTGTTCTCTCTGTCGCCTGTCCATGGAAGAAATAACTAAACAAACTTTTTAAAAAATGCTATTATGTTAGGCCCACGTTAGAGCAGAGGACCCATTTTCAAATGCAGGAGTTCCGTAAGCTGTGCCTAAGCAGGCTCTGTTTTGCCGTAGGTCAGTATGACGGCAGGGGGAAGCCGTTGCCCGAGTACCACGCCCGGATCGCTGGCTTCGATGAGCGGGTAGGTCGAGGCTCTGTGCCCCAGTCTCTGCAGGGCATTGTTGCTGTGTGGTGTGCAGGTCTGCAGGTGAGAAAATGGTGTGTCTTCACTGAAAAAGAGACTTGACCTCAACATGGAGTTTTCTGATTCTGTTACTTACCAAATTGCTTGGTATGATTGTCTCCAGTGTTTTTACGACGACTAGATGTAAGGATATGACAAACTCAGAGATGGATATAAATTACGTGTAGGATTACTTTTGTAAAACTATTTTGGCCTAAAATAGCTGCTGTACTCTCACACTTGGATTCCCATGGATAAGCTGAAATTGTATAGGTTAGGCTGTGTTTTGAGCTGGTTGCTAGGTTACAGCCAATTATAGCAGCTAGGCTTCAGTCGGTCACAGGCATCCCGCCTCTTAAACCAGTTTACTGCAGACAGACTCCAGAATGTAGCCAGCGATTTCTCTGCCCCACTCCATCACTTACTTTATTTTACGACACTTTCCCTTTCTCTGCACGTGTCACTTTCCTGTTCCACCAGCATAAAAGCCAAGTTGACCACGAGGCTGGCAGAGCTGTCCAGAAGCCTGGGGACAACTGCCCTATTTAAATCGTGTTAAGATTTGCTTTATTAAAAGTCTGTCAAAGTGGCTGGTTTGTTTTTCTTCTAACACTTGATTGTGGGAAGTGTGCATGTTGGGTATTGCTTTCACATCCCTAACAGGACTGGCTGGGTGTGACCCGTTGTGCCAGCTCTCTACTGCTGCTCTGCCCCGGCTGTCTTTGGGTTTGGAGGGAGGTCTGTGAGGCAGCCAAGCACCTGCCGTACTCTTCCTGGTGGTGGTGTGATGGTCTAGTCTGGACTGCACCTGAAAGGGTCCTTTCTGCTTAAAGGTACAGGTCATGGCTTCTATAAGAAAGCCAAAGCGCATCGTCATCCGAGGCCATGACGAGAGGGAGTACCCTTTCCTGGTGAAGGGCGGCGAGGACCTGCGGCAAGACCAGCGCATCGAGCAGCTCTTCGAGGTCATGAACGTCATCCTGTCACGCGATGCTGCCTGTAGTCAGAGGAACATGCAGCTGAGGACGTACCGCGTGGTGCCCATGACCTCCAGGTGCGGGGCCAGGGGTTGCTTGACAAGTCAGCGCTTCGGTTCCCACAGAGGCTGCACTCGGCAGACCTGTGCCCACCTTGGGATCCTGGGGGGGAGCCATGGCTGTGCACGGAGACGCCAGCTCTGCTATGAGTCCTCAGAACCTTTTCTTCATGAAAGAAGAGTAGGTTGGGTTTATTCATGAGGATCTTTCTCTCCTTTATAGATTGGGATTAATCGAATGGATTGAAAATACCCTTACTTTGAAGGACCTTCTTTTGAGTAACATGTCTCAGGAGGAGAAGGCAGCGTGTATAAGGTATGTGAAGCCCGCCTGTGTGCTCATGCTTCTGCCTGGATCTCGTGTCCTCTAGTGGGTGGTCTTGTGCCACTTTCTCTACCTCGTGTCTCCGGTGACACCTCAGAGCCCCGTGTGATCAGTGTTGCTGACCCCCACCCGACCTGGCCTTTCACCTGCTCTGACTGGGCAAATGACTCGGTGGAGTGGAAGGTACTACATAGTTGCATGCATTTTACTACCAGAAATATTCACGACAAAAAAGTATTAACTCGGGGGAAAAGAAAAAGAAAGAAACCTTAAAAGAAATAAATAATAATGAGATTTGCAACCAAAGCTTAATGAAACATTTTTGATACGCTAGGCACTGTTCTCATATCTTAATGTCTGAACTATTTACTTCTCACAGCGGTCTCCCAGGGGAGTGTCGTCCTTTCTACACAGAGGAGGAGGCTGAGCCCCAGAGAGGCCCAGCAGTGTGTGGTGGGTCACACAGCCTTATAGGTGGTGTAAGCTGGGGCTATTCATGATTAATTGTAGGTTATGGATGCTCTTTCATCTCTCTCTCTTTTTATTTTTTCAAAATTTTCTGTTTTAGATGTGTACTCTTTAATCAGAAGTTTTTTTTAATAGGTTTTCATTTCTATCAAGAAAAGTAAGCACCCCATAGTGAGAGCCACTTTGAAGGGAGAGTGTCTCTCACTATGTAGAGTGGCAAGCTGTGGCATGAAGGAAGAGGCTCCGTGACTCGTTCTCTTCCTCATACCTCATTCTTTCCTGGCTGTATTTAAATAGGAGCAGTATTCTCTAGGTGAGGAACAATTTCAATACAGTGAAGTATATTCTTACCAAGCTTTCCTGAGAAGTTACCAAGTAGGGCAGAGTTAACTGACTGTTAACTCCTTGGCCTAGGAGTTAGAAAGCAGTTTCTACTTTCCTTGGAAGACAGGCGTGGGTGGACACTGCTTCCTGGCAGGAGAGGCTGCAGATCACATTAGCGCTGAGGCTGTGGCCCACGGTGGGTTCTGTCTGTGTTCCTGGACTCGGGAGAGAGCTGGAGGCAGAGCAGGGCAGCGACACAGCTGTGGAGGGGAAAAGTGTTTTCACAGATGGTGGTCTCAGCCACCTCTATGAAACAGGCATTTCTGACCGTATAAGTAAAACTGTTGCCGGTTTTTTTTTCTTAATTTAACATGTTTTTTATAACCTCAGTTGACACTAGAAGGAGAGGATTTCAGTTATAAATGTGTGCCTGGCTCCATTCCCATTCTACTGGGAACACAAAAGAGGGCAGGTAGGGGACCAGCGGTTGGCATAATGGATATGTCACTGGACTGCCATGTAGTTGACCGTGGTTCAAGTCCTGGACTCAGTGACGTAAACTCATGCCAGGTACAGGTGCGTGCATGCCCAAGATCCCAGGAGGAGAATGGAGGAGAAGGGACTGCAGCATGGTCATTCCCCCATCCCCCCAGGGGATGATTTCTCGCTTTCTGTCTCTCTGTCTCTCTCTGTCTTTCTGGCGAGCGCAAAAAAAAAAAAGAGAGAGAGAGAGAGAGAGAGAGAGAGAGAGGGCAGATGGGGCTGCCTTTGTAGTTCCAGTAACCCCATGCTGTCTGCCGTCTGCCGTCCTCCTGACTGGCGAGATATGTGAGCAGAGAAGTCTCCAGACGAGCAACCGAACAGACTCTGCATTTTCTGATTTGGAGAACACAGAAAAAGGGACAGGGGACAAAGTGAAAAATAAGAATGGAAGTGCACGACAGTTACATCTATGGGTTTGAAGTGAAAGGAAAAAGTCTGACCTTAAAATGAAATGGTGGTTCTTCTCAAAGAATCTTTGTTACTTCCTGTGCTAAGTGATACCGGGCTACAAGGCACAGTGAGAACAGAGCAGGTAGAGTCAGATCCGGTGAAGAGTTCAGAAGATTTAAATATATGAAAGCACAAGAAGCTAAGATGGGAGCTACATTTCGGAATTCAGAATGTCATCGACAATTCAATATATACTTCAGAAAAATACAGCTATTCTCACATGTACATAGCACGATGTTTAGTGGTGAATAAGATGACAATATGTGCATACATGATTATTACATACTTTGAAAAAACAAACTATACCCCACAAAGATGTGCAATGATTATATGTAAACCAGAAATCACAATTTAAAAAAAAGAATTCAGGTCCACCCTACCTGGTGACACTAAGATTTAATGGGCAGAGGCCATCTCAGATGAGAATAGTTGAAGTTAGAAAAGTGTTAAGTTAAATAGGCAAGTCATTCCCTAAATACAGTGTCCCACTGACTCTGAAAACGTGTTTGCAGGTTATCATTTAACTTATGAATTTAACCTCTTAAGGGACAAGGACACCGAGGATGAGACTGTCTTCTGCAGATGACCAGTAGCCCACATGTGAAACCCAAATGTCCCCTGTGAATATACCTCGTTTTATTAATGTCCTTTTCCCCTCTTTAATGTTTACTGACGACTTGCTCAGGGTTGGGGATACAGTAAGGCTGGAAGTTCCTGCCTTTCTCCTTGTGGTAGAGGAGCAGAGAAACACATAGCAATTAAAATGCAGTGAGGCAAATATAGAAAAGGTTATCATTGATTGTGGGAAGGGATACATTTCAGGCTTCTTTCTGCAAAGTTGAAGGCCGTACTTTGGCCTAAACTTTCTTCCTTTCAATTTTTAATTTTTATCGTTCTAGAACACCCAGCAGTCCCCTTGCACTGGTCTACTTTTGAAAGTAATGTAGTAGCAACTCAGGAAAGACTCACCGTAAGTGATGGATGTGCCCACTCACATGTTGAGAAGTTGCTCTACCTTTATAGATTTTTTTAAAAAGAAAACTTGTTGAAGCTCCTGACAGAGACCCCAAAGGTGCCAAACATGCACCTCTGTGTAGTTTCCAACTGCTCAGAGCATTATTGAAAACAGCGTTGAGTTTAGTTTAAGCATCCCTTTTTTTTTTTTCTTTTTTGGAGAGGTTTTTGCTATAGGGCGTGTGCGCTTGCCAGACAGACAGAGACAGAGAGACAGAAAGCAAGAAATCACCCCCCAGGGGGGATGGCCATGCCGCAGTCCCTTCTCCTCCATTCTCCTCTCGGGATCTTGGGCACGCACACGCGCCTGGCGTGAGTTTAAGCCACCAGGTCCAGGACTTGAACCGTAGTCGACTACATGGGAGTCCAGCGACATAGCCATTATGCTAACTGCTGGCCCCAGTTTAAGCATCCCTTGAAAATACTTTGTCATGGGGCCGGCAGGTGGTGTGGTTGTTGAGGCGCTGGACTCCCACATGCCTGTCCGTGGTTTTGAGTCCCAGACCTGGCACCTGGCTTTCTCACTTTCTCCTCTCTCTGCCTCTCTCTGATCAAATTTAAATAAATGAATAAACAGGTAAAAATAAATGAATGATTATTTAAAAAAATAATTTTTGGAATTTAATTTTTTTTAATGCTTTGCTGATTTCATATATACCTGTGTCTTGTAAACCGTGAAGAAAGATGAGGCAGTGGTCTGAACGACAAGACAGACTTGACTGTCCTGTGTTTGCTGTGGGGAGATGCGGCCCATGTTCTGCCCACTTTTGGGGGACCGCACATGGTCCTGCCTTGTGCTATGGTTTCTTTCTGTTAGACTTTCAGAATTGTGTGCTTTGTAATAAACGCGTTGTGTTAGCTCATTGTATCTCTCTCTGTATGAATTGGGAAATCTGTTGTATCAGATTGTTGTGCACCTGAATTTTTGTATAGGAAATAACTTGAGCTTCTTCAGGAGTAATTTTTAATTTGCCAGAGGGCACCTGTACTCATGAGAGAGAGAAGAAGCACCCCCCATGGGGCCTGGTCACACTGCAATCTCTTCTCCTCCATCTTTCCCTTCTTTTGGGATTTTGGGCATGCATGCACGTGCATTTGGCATGTTTTTCAAGCTACCGTGTCTGAGACACCAGCTGCATGACTGGCCGGGATCTGGCTCTTTTAATCATAAGACCTGCCCTTTTAGCAGTAATTATAAATGAATAATGCTATATTGATGTTCTAAATTCAGACTAATACAGATTCAGTGTTAACATTAGATATGATTAAAAGTTGTACTAAGGGTCCAGCAGGTGGTTAAAAGTTAATAAGGCTTTGGACTCCCACATGACCAACCATGGTTCAAGTACAGGATCTGGTGACTTGAAAATCATACTGGGCATATGTGTGTACATGCCCAAAATCCCAGGAGAAGAATGGAGGAGAGGAGATTACAGCATGGCCATCTTTGGGAGGTGATTTCTCACTTTCCCTCTCACTGTCTCTGTTTCTCTCCTCTCCAGGAAGCATACTCACCCTATGGCAAAAATCTTTAAAAAAAAAAAAAAAAGCTATATCGAAGATCAGTTGGTGGTGTGAGGTTAAGATCCTAGATCCCACGTGGCTGACTACATGATTAGAATCCTGTAGTCAGTGACCTTAAAAATACACCAGGCACATGTGTATGCATGCCCAAAATCATAAGAGGAGAATGGAGGAGAAAGGACTATGTCAAGGCCACCACCTCTGTGGGTACTTTCTCACATTCTCTCTTTCTCTCTGTTTACTGCCCTTCTTACCCCATCCCCCACCACGTGAGCATAGACACTCTGTAGCCCAACAAGAAAAGTTATATTTATTTTTTCTTCCTCTTTGCTATTTTTTAAATGAATTCTTTTTGAAATTCTTTGTCTCTGAAATCATTTAGTGCTAAATGTCTTTCTTATTTTAATTTTCTTTTTCCTACTTAGTGATCCCACAGCACCACCTTATGAATATAGAAACTGGCTGACAAAAATATCAGGAAAGCATGATGTCGGAGCTTACACACTAATGTATAAGTAAGTGTTTTAAGTCTGTTTATGTGTTCCATAAGATAGAGGCAGAAAGAAAATGACAGACAGAGGCACCTCACAGGGCTTCCATGCCACGGCCTGCCCTAGCCTTGGTCACAGGCACATCTGTGTGCACTGGCACACTCAGGGAGGACCCAGGACATGAATCCAGGACCTTCTTCATGGAGGTCCAGTTGCTGCTGCTCCACCACCTGCCAGTCAACATTCATATTTACTTCTGCTTCTTAGAGAGTTTTGCCTGATCATGAAAATCCAGTTATGTGACATTCGAGATTCAGTATGAACAAAGAGTTATAGGGACCGGCAGATGGTGTAATGGCTGTGTCACTGGACTCCCATGTAGTTGACTGGGATTTGAGTCCTGGACCCGGTGGCTTAAACTCACGACTGGCGCGTGTGCCAGGAGATCACAAAAGGAGAAGGGATTGTGGCGTGGCCATCCCCCTGGGGGGTGGTTTCTTGCTTCTTCTCTCTCTGTCTCTCTGGCAAGTGCATGCACTCTATAGCAAAAACCTCTCCCCCTCATAAAAAACAAAAAATAAAAAAAAATTAAAAAACAGAGTTATAATATTTAGATTTTAAATCATGAGAAATGTGTTTTAATGAGACGTTTCCAATTATTAAATCACAGGAGAGCTAACCGCACTGAAGCAGTCACATCTTTTAGAAAAAGAGAAAGCAAAGTTCCAGCTGACCTCTTAAAGTAAGTACAGTCCCGCTCCAGCAACAAGGCAGTGGCAGCAGAGACCTGAGTTGCTTCTCTCTTCCAGGCGAGCCTTCATGAGGATGAGCTCTGGCCCCGAGGCCTTCTTGGCCCTGCGCTCCCACTTCACCTGCTCCCATGCCCTGCTGTGCATCAGCCACTGGCTCCTTGGGATTGGGGACAGACACCTAAACAATTTCATGGTGACTCTGGAGACAGGCAGCATGATTGGGATCGACTTTGGACATGCATTTGGGTCAGCCACGCAGGTGTGCATGCTGGACACTCTCCATTCTAGGGGAGTTTGGAATCGCCACATTACCTTGGAATACCCTTCAGAAGTGGATAGTGTTAGAAGAAGAAATGACACGTTAGTTAGGCTGGTTTTGTCATGACCTTAAATCTGACATTTTTGCAGAAAGGGATGATCTCAGCTTGGTTCTTGCTTGCTGAGACAGGTGAGGCGGTAAATTACATAAAGTCAGGAACAGATTGTGTTCTGTGGGAAAGGAGGGCTCTTAGGAAGTTTAGTGAAGTCCCATAATCACAATGTCTTGCACAAAATTTGATACGAATATTTTTTCTGACATTTACCACTGGGTTTTTTGTTGTTTTATTGTACTCCTAAGTCTCCGTGGGCTCTGTGGTTCCACCATATAGATTTTAAGTAGAAAGAATGGTGACAGCTAAGGAAATTATGTGTGAGCACAGGGATTTCCACATGTAGCTGATTTCAAGAAAAATGGAGTTTGTATCCTCACTACCTGTGAATAATAGCTATGAGGGGATGTTTCACGTGTCCCTGTAACTTAGAGGTTTCATATATTCTACTTATTGCATGCATTGTTTTTTCTCATTCAGTTTCTGCCAGTCCCTGAACTCATGCCCTTTCGTCTGACTCGCCAATTTATCCATCTGATGTTACCAATGAAAGAAACGGGTCTGATGTACAGTGTCATGGTGCATGCGCTTAGGGCCTTTCGCTCAGACCCAGACCTGCTCATCAACACCATGGATGTGTTTGTGAAGGAGCCTTCTTTTGATTGGAAAGTAGGTTTTGTTTCATTTCACTTTTATTTCAGTTTCCCAGGGATCAGTCCAGTGTAGAAATAAATCAAGTTGTGTTTCAAAAATATTTACATAATTTTATACAGCATTTGTCAGAGTTAATATTTGGGCTTGTTTTGGCCTGAAAACTAAGAAGAGATGCAGCCTTTATGTGGAAAAAGCCATGGCTTCTATTGGGCTTATTTCTAACCGGGAGAGGGAATAGGGTTCCATGGTTGGTGAGGGTTTGAATTGTCCCTAATGCACTTGTAGTCTACAAACAGTCCTACGTGAGGTCTGTCTGCTGTAATCGTAAAGATACTTTCTGGAGTCTCGGGTTATTCAGAGGACAACCCCAGGAAGGTGAATCTTGTGTGCGTGCCCTCTGAAGGATGGCACCTCTCTTTGACCCTCAAGCTCATTGTCAGTGTGATGCTGCTCTTCAAGTCTGTGTGAGACGCCGCAGAGCTATCCCAGTGAGAGAGGTTTAAGTTCCTCGCTTGGTCTAATATGTGTGAATGTGGTCATATGTGTGCTGTTACAATAAATTAAGAAAGTCATTTTGTTTTTCCTTTAGAACTTCGAACAAAAAATGCTAAAAAAAGGGGGATCATGGATTCAAGAAATAAACATAAGTGAAAAGAACTGGTATCCCCGGCAGAAAATATCTTATGCTAAGAGAAAGTTGTCAGGTGCCAATCCAGCAGTCATCACTTGGTAAGATTGTTACTTGTGGGAAAGAGAAGCAGAAGACCAACAGTTCTGTTTCTTAAAGAATCAACATGTGCTGGGACCAGCAGGTGGTATTGTGATTAAGGCACTGGGCGCTCCCACATGGCTGACCATGGTTTGAGTCCTAGACCTAGTGGCTTGCTTTCTCACTTTCTCTCTCTCTCTCTCTCTCTCTCTCTCTCTCCGTGTGTGTGTGTGTGGTCAAATTAAAATAATATGAATGAATAAATAAAATGTAAAAGTAATTTTGGTGCAAAAAAAAGAATCAACATGTGTGTACAAAGTACTGAGTACTTTCTGTTTAGCCTTAGGCACTGGCAGCTAGAGGGGCCTTAGAGAATCAGAATTCTCTCAAGCCTGGGCAAGTCCTGTGACTCAGAACCTCCTTCCTTGACCCCTGTGCTCTGCATGGTCTTCAGGCCTTGAGATAACTCCTGGAACAGACTGTTCCAGTATGAGGACAGGAGAGTCATTCCTAGACTAGCCAAAATACTGTTTCGCACCTGAGGAGGGTTAGGGTTTAAATATGCTTTAGTCTTTACAGGGTCTTTGACCCATTTGACCCTGGTGGGCACAGCAGCTAAGTTTAAAGAACACAGTGTGGGCTGTTGATTGAGAGTCTAGATTGGGTAGGCTTTTAGTTTAGCTTTTAAATATTTGTTTATCAAGATCTAAAGCAAATAGAAATTTGGAGCTATGAAAGGAAAAAAAAATGGACTTTAGAATTAAATAACAGTTAATAGTTGCCTGTGACTAACTTGTTCTTGATGAGGCTGCTAAGAACAATAAGTGGTCTTTTCAACAAATAGCACTGGCATAGGAATGAATTTGGATCCCTATCTCATACCCTAGACAAAAACTAATTCAAAGTGGATTTAAGAGCTAAAACTACAAAACACTTAGAAACATAGGGGTAAATATTTATGACCTTAGATTGGGCTGTGACATTTGGCACTTTTAGATATGACACCAGAAGCAAATGGACTTTATCAAAATTTAAAACTTTGTGCTTCATAGACTAATATCAAGAAAGCAAAAAGATAACTCACAGAGTGGGAGAGATGTTTGTAAGTCATATCTGATAAAGAACTTGTATCTAGAAAAATGTAAGAAAGTCTTACAACTAATAATACAAGTAACTAAATTAAAAAGTGGCCAAAGGACCTGCACAAACGTTACTTTAAAAAATATATACAAAAAGGGGGCCAGCAGGTGACATGGTGGTTAAGGGTGCTGAACTCCCACGTGGTCAACCATGGTTTGAGTCCTGGACCTGGTGACTTGCTTACTCACTTCCTCTCTCTCTCTCTCTCTCTGTCTCTCTCTCTCTCTCTCTCCCTCTCTCCCTCTCTCCCTCTCCCCCTCTCCCCCTCTCCCTCTCTCTCCCTCCCCCTCTCTGTGTGTTTCTGGTCAAAATTAAAAATAAATAAAAGTTAAATAAAATAATTCTTAAAAAAGTAAATATATACATATATACACACAAATGACCAATAAGCACATGAAAAAATGTTCAACATCACTTGTCATTGATTCTCAGTAGAGGATGGCTGGAATCGATACAGTGGATATTACAAGTATTGGTGAGGAGGTGGAGGAACTGGAATTCTGATCAGCTGCCAGCGGGAGTGGAAAATATTGTAACTGCTGTGGCCAATATTCTGGCATTTCCTTTAAAAGTTAAACATGGGGGGGAACCAGCAGTTAGCGTAATGGCTATGTCGCTGGACTCCCACGTAGTCGACCGCGGTTCGTGTCCTGGACCCGGTGGCTTAAAACTCACGCTGGGCGCGTGTGCGTGCGTGCCCAAGATCCCGAGAGGAGAATGGAGGAGAAGGGATTGCGGCGTGACCATCCCCCCTTTAAACATGGGGGGCCAGCAAGTGGCATGGTGGTTAAAGGCACTGGACTCCCACATGGCCAACCACGGTTCAAGTCTCGGACCTGGTGGCTTGCTTTCTCACTTCCTCTCTCTCTCTCTCTCTCTGTCTTCTCTCTGATCAAACTGAAAAATAATAATAATAATGATGATAATAATAAATAAAGTTAAATAAAATAATTCTTTAAAAAAAAAAAGTTAAACATGGAGTTACCTTATGACCCAGCACTTCCGCTCTTAGGTATCTCTCAGGAGAAATGAAAGCAGATGTTTGTACAGAAGCTTGTAAACAAATGTTAACAGCAGCATTATTTGCGTTCCATTTTTCTACAAATCCAGTTTTGGTCTTCAAGGTCATGAACCACAGAGAATGTTCTGAATGTGATGAGAGGCAGCAGTTGCAGAAATGCAGGAAACAAAGGAAGAAGAATACATGGTTTGCATTTTCATATTTGTTCAATCTTTTTTCCAGTGATGAGTTACTTCTGGGCCACGAGAAGTCACCAGCCTTCAGGGATTATACAGCTGCAGCACGAGGAAGCAAAGATCACAACTTCCGTGCCCAAGAACCAGACGATGGTCTTTCAGAAGAGACTCAAGTGAAGTGCTTGCTGGACCAGGCCACAGACCCCAACATCCTTGGCAGAGCTTGGATGGGATGGGAGCCATGGATGTGAAGCCTGTGGTGGTTGCTCGGTGTAAAACATTAGAATGTTTACAGAATCTCCTAGACTCAGCAACAGCAATCAATGAGTTGATTTTCCTGAACCCCTGAAGAGAAGAAATGTATTTAGTGATAGAATTTTGTGGCATGAGTTTAAATCAAATCGTGATGAGTAATGAGTATTGATATGAGTCAAAGATGAGGTTATTATATAACCTCAAAGCTTAGGTTGGGTTGTGGTAGACTTAGAATAGAAAAACACATGTTAAGGCTCATATGGCGTATGATCAGCTTTTAGAGCATTCTGTGAGTGCTGTGAGTCAGGTAAACTGCTGTCTCAATAAACGGGGTGGACATGGATGCTCTACGGCATGGCCTCATTGGTTATGGCATATGGGAAATAACACCCGAAGACTTCATCACTGAGATGTTGTGAGGGTAAACCAGTGTCATGGTTGATAGGATGTTACAGTCTGTGGGACTGACGTTACAGTAGAGGGACAATCAGAACAAGAGCTAAGACTGTGGTCTCGTAGATTTAGGAACAACCACATTTCCTGTTTTAGGATAGTTTTCTGGATTTTAATTTTATTTTCTTCTAGTTTTGAAATTTCATGGTAGATTTGCTCCCCAGAAGAGAACAGCCTCCGTTTAGGGAGGTAAAAACCTTGGAATTACCATTTGTCTGCAGTTGAAATTAGATGAAAGTGCCCTGCATCCCAGATTTGGCAGCTTCAGAAATCCCAGGTATAAAATAGGGGTAGCACTAGGCATCTCAGTTTTAGGAAAATAAAGGAAATCTCAATTTGAGATGAGTTCTTTATTTGGAGGAAAAGCATTCATTCTGGAGCAGCACGATGCAGTTAGGAAGTACAGAATTGGCTTCATCCACCCACAGATCTCAGCCTCTCCACAGCCCTTTGCATACCTGGGACTGCGCTCAGGTTGACTTTAGCTTTTTTCTTCACCATTTTTATTTGGAAACTCTTCTGTGATGTTGAGAAATAAATCTTAGGAACATTTAACAAAGTTTTTTCCAAAAGTAGTAGGTAGCTCTTTTATGCAATTTCAAAAGTAAAATATTCATCGTACAAGATAGTCCATTATCTTATTTGCCAAGTTTGTTCTAATAAATACAGGTGGGATGCATTTTGGCATTAAAAGTTAACAGGTACGCAATAAGTAGCATCTACTGAGCTAAAGAAATTTCACTTTTAAGGAAAAATAAGTGACCAGATATGTGAAAATCTAATACGCACATGATGTAGTAAATGTTTCTTGCTACCACACAAACAGCAGCTGGAGTGAGCCTACTTGGAGTTGACCTGATTATAATGTATTGTTTTCTGTAATAGCTAATTAGCCATAATTGTCCCTTGAGTCCTGACAACTGGGGCTGTATTCATTAATGGGATTGCCTACGTTATAGGAAACCCTGTTTTTTAATGGCTACTTTTCATATCAATAAAAGTTCACTGTTACAAGTTGACTGTGTGTGTGAGTCCAGTCTTACAACTGACTGTTTGCAGAGCTCTTTGTGGCTCACAAACATAATAAAAAGAAACAATCACTTTGTGGTGTTCGGAAACGTGTACAAATCCCGTGGAGGAGAGAGTGTCCTTGTGACACACTTAACAAACTGCACATCTGACCCATCACTGAAGTCCAGACTTCAACCCTGTGATTTATTTATTTTTTTTTTAGGGTACATGCACTTACCAGAGAGAGAAGGTGAGAAATAACTCTCCGGGGGTATGGCCATTCTGCAGTTCCTTCTCCATTTTCCTGGGATCTTAGGCACGCACGCATGTGCATGCACACACATGGCTGATGTGATTTTTCAAGCCACTGGTCCAGGACTTAGACTATAGCAAGCCATGTGGGAGTCCAGTACCTTAACCATCATGCAGCCTGCTGGCCCTAACCCCATAATTCTTGCCAATAAGAATATTGGGTTTGGAAATCAAGAAATAAAGACACTCGGGACCAGCAGTTAGCGTAATGGCTATGTCGGTGGACTCTCACGTAGTCGACCGCGGTTTGCGTCCTGGACCCGGTGGCTTAAAACTCACACCGAGTGCGTGTGCGTGCCCAAGATCCCGAGAGGAGAATGGAGGAGAAGGGATTGCAGCGTGGCCATCCCCCCTGGGGGGTGATTTCTCGCTTTCTATCTCTCTGGCTCTGGCGAGTGCATGCGCCCTATGGCAAAAACCTCAAAAAAAAAAAGGAAGAAATAAAGAAACTTCACTGATTATAAGTACAAGGAAATATCAGTGAGTGGCACTGAGAATAGTATTTTAAGACATTTTATTAAATTACCAAGCATTTTAATTTTTTAATTTAAAGGTAGACTCCAAATGCATTTTTGTGTTAAAGAATTATTTTATTTAACTTTATGTATTTAGTAGGAGTAGTATTTTCCAGTTTGATCAGAGAGAGAGGGAATATGAGGAAGCAAACACCAGGTCCAGGACTTAAACATGGTGGGACATGTGGGAGTCCAGGGCCATTCAGCTCCATGCCACCTACCGGCCCCTCCAAACACATTTTTGAAATACTAAGAGTTAAAGCAGATTTTTTTCCCAGAAGTGGAGCAAATTGAACCCTTTTTGTTTTTATTTTTTTAAGGAATTATATTTTAAATTCCATTTGTTATTAATTTTTAAATTTGATCAGAGAAAGAAAGGGAAAGTGAGAAAGCAAGTCACCAGGTCTGGGACTTGAACCGCGGTTGGCCATGTGGGAATCCAGGGCCTTTAACCACCATGCCACCTGCTGGCCCAGCCCTTTTCTTTATCTTACTCCTTAGGAAAGTACAGCAGTATGAGTTGGGCCCTTTCTTACTAGCACTAAAAGCAATGGAATTTCAGCTAGACCTGGGGGAGACTGAAACGGAAACAGAAAATAGGCTTAAAATGCACTGAGGGCATATATCTTGTATAGTCCTAAAGTTTTGTAAGCCTAATGTAAATGGTAATATTTACCTTAGGAGCAGATTTTGATACTGTTTTCAGGTTACACACGAAACACTTATTTTCAAATTCCAAAGTAATAGAAATTTCAGATTTAAACTCACTGAAGGACATTTGTATTGATTCGAACGTTTTCTCAAGCATATCATAAGTTCCCTTGGGACAAGGGCTGTGTCATTGCTGAGGACAGCACCTGGCGGCACCTAACCCACAACAAATACTGGGCCTACACCATAGAAACAACATCAAAGGTTTAAACTTAGAAACATTTCCTAAATAATAAAAGTTACTTCACCAACCTAGAGTATTCTTAAGGTATATTTTACTAATGACCAGTAACTTTAAAAGAAATTACTATAATTTCTGATCTACATATAATAGTTGCACATCTTTGTGGAGTACAGTGTGTAATAATTGAATCTGGGAAGTAAACATATTCACCATCTCCCATGTATCATTTCTTTGTGTTGTGTACATTCAGAAGTCACTCGACGTGGACATGTATGCTAAATTCATCAATGTTCTTTACTGTGCTATGATAGCTCATTCCACTTATTTACATGCAGTCTTGCATCTTCTAACCAAGTTTTCCCAACCCTTATCTCTCCTCCCCTTTCCCGTTTCTGGTATTCATCATTCTATTTTCTTCTGTGCAATTCAGTCTTTGAGCTTCCACTGAAGAATGAGGACCCACAGATTTCATCATGTGAGGATATATATAGTATTCATCTTTCAGAGCCTGTCCAATTTCACTTAACATTGTTCTGTGTTCATCCATCTGCCTCAAAGAATAGGAATCTTTTTTTTTAAAGAATTATTTATTTAATTTTATTTATTCATTTATTTATTTATTTTAATTTGATCAGAAAGACACAGAGAAAGAGAGCGAAAGAAGGAAAGTGAGAAAGCAAGCCACCAGGTCTGAGACTCGAACCGTCATTGGCCATGTGGGAATCCAGCGCCCTTATCCACCATGCCACTTGCCGGCCCTGAGGAATCCTTTTTTTTTAATGGTGGAATAATATACCACAATTTCTTTATTTTTATTATTATTTAAGTTTGCTATAGGGCATGTGCGCTCACCAGAGAGAAGGAAAGTGAGAAAGCAAGCCATCACTGTGGTTGGCTATGTGGAAGTCCAGCATCCCAACCACCATGCCACTTGCTGGCCCCAACATCACAATTTTTTTTTTAATCTATTCATCAATTGTTGGACACTTAGGTTGATTCCATATCTTAGTTATTGTGAATAGTGCAGATATCTCTGGTTTATTGATTTTGTTGTCCTGTGGATATTTTCAGATCATAATGTAGTTAGTTCTAGGTTTAGTTTTGAGGAACCTCCATACTATTTCCCACAGTGGCTGTATTAATGCACATGAGGGTTTCCCTTTCTCCACAGTCTTGCTAGTACTTGTTCTCTTTCTCTCTCTCTTTCTTTCTTTTTCTTTCTTTCCTTCTTTCTCTTTCTTTCTTTCTTTCTTCTTTCTTTCTTTTTCTCTTTTCTTTCTTTTTCTTTCTTCCCTTTCTTTCTTTCTTCTTTATCCCTTTCTTTTTCTTTTTTGTAATTGCTTTTCTAACTGGGGAAGGTGATAATGTTTTGATTCACATTTGCCTTATGAGTAGTAATGTTGAACATTTTTTCTCATGCTTTTTTGGTCATGTGTATGTCTTCAAGAATTGTCTCTTCAGAACTATTGCCTGTTTTATAATTTAAAATTTTTGCTATAGGACATGTACCTATATATATAAAGTAAGAAAGCACCCATACCTCAATCCATTCTCTATTCTCTCAGGATTTTGGACACTTTATACACACATGTTGAGTATGTTTTTCAAGCCACCGGGTCTGTGTTGTATCTAGCCTCCTTAAGTTCCATGTTATCTGCTATTTACCTATTTTTAATTGGATTATTAGTTTTTGGCTAATAAATTGGTTTTTTAAAAAATAATTATTTAACTTAATACTTACCTGGCAGGGGAGATACCGTGATCACGAAGGTGGTTTTCCCAGGGTGAGGCTCACCCATTGCACTCTGGGTGTGCCGACCCCTGCGATTTCCCCAAATGCGGGAAAGTCGACTCCATAATTTGTGGTAGTGGGGGACTGCGTACACGCTTTCCCTGGAAAGAAAAAAAAGAAAAGAATTATTTAACTTTATTTGTTTATTTAAATTTGACTAGAGAGGGACAGGGTGGGGGAGTGAGAAAGCAAGCCACCAGGTTCGGGACTTAAACTGCAGTTGGCCATGTGGGAGTCCAGCGCTCTTAACCATCATGCCACCTGCCAGCTCCTGCTGATGACCTGTTTGAATGTCTTATATAATCTGGGTTTTTAATTCCTTGTCAGATGTATTGTTTGCAGATTTTTTTTTCTCCCATTCTATAAACTGTCTCTATTAACTGTATCCTTTTCTTTTTTTCTTTTTTTTTTTTTGAGAGATTTTTCACTGTAGGGCGCGTATGCTCGCCAGACAGACAGACAGAGACATAGAGACAGAAAGCGAGAAATCACCCCCCGGGGGGATGGTCACGCCGCAATCCCTTCTCCTCCATTCTCCTCTCGGGATCTTGGGCACGCACGCACACGCGCCCGGCGTGAGTTTTAAGCCACCGGGTCCGGGACACGAACTGCGGTCGACTACATGGGAGTCCAGCGACATAGCCATTACGCTAACTGCTGGTTCCCAACTGTATCCTTTTTTGAGCAGAAGCTTTTTAGTTTGGTGTAATCCCACTTGTCCATTTTTTGCTGCTTTTGCCTGTGCTTTTGAAGTCTTATTTTAAATTTTTTTCACCTGAACCAATATCAAGTCTTTCACCTATGTCATGCAGTAATCTTATGGGTTTGGGTTTAATATGTAAGTCTTGAATCCATTGTGAGTTTATTTTGTGTAAGGTTGAAATAGGAATCTAGTTTTATTCTAGTTCAGAGATATCCAATTTCCCTAGCACCATTTTTTGAAGATACTTTCACCCCACTGAATTATCTTAGAACCTTTGTCAAAAGTTAATTGTATCTCGGGAACCAGCAGTTAGCATAATGGCTGTGTTGCTGGATTCCCACGTAGTCGACCGCGGTTTGCATCCCGGACCCAATGGCTTAGAACTCACACCGGGCACGTGTGTGTGCGTGCCCAAGATCCCAAGAGGAGAATGGAGAAGGGATTGCAACATGGCCATCCCCCTTGAGGGGTGATTTTCTGCTTTCTGTCTCTTTCTCTCTGTCTGTCTGACGAGTGTACGCGACCTATAGCACAAACCTCTCAAATAAAAAGTTAACTGTATCTCCATGAAGTTATTTCTGGGTTCTGGATTGATCTAGGTGTCTGTTTTTGCGCCCATGCCATTGTGAAGTCAGGTGGTGGGATTCCTACAGCTTTATTCTTTTTGCACAGAATTCATTGTCTTTTGTGATTCCAAACAAATTTCATGATTGTTTTTTTCTATTTTTGTAAATGTTATTGGTATTTTACTAGGGATTGCATCAATCTGTAGATTCGTTTGGAAG